TTCCACATATATTTTGCTAGCACTCTTGTCATTTTGTTATTAGCCACCTCAGGGTCCTTTTTTAAAAGAGAAAGAGATTATAAATTAGTCACCAGTCCCCACTTCCCCACCCATAAAGTTTCTATTCGAATGAACGATTGTCTCAAGGAAGTGTTCTCCAGGCTCTCCCTCTTACTCTCACATTAAGCAGATGTTTAACGAAGTGTTATTGAGTTAAACTGAAATGAATCAGAGGTGACGATCACTCTCCTTTGCTCCTGCCCCAGGCCTACCTCCTCATTGAGGAGGACATCCGGGACCTCGCTGCTAGCGATGACTACAGGTAAAACCAGTAGGTCTGTCCTCTACCCTCCCCCAGGCCTTATAGTAGCCCCCAGGATGAGCTCTCGCTTCAACTTTTCTCCTTGATGTCTGTTCCAGAGGATGCCTGGACCTGAAGTTAGAGGAGCTGAAATCCTTTGTCTTGCCCTCCTGGATGGTTGAAAAGATGCGAAAGTACATGGAGACACAACGGACAGAGAATGAGCATCGTGCTGAAGCGCCTTCACAGACCTGAAGCCAGGTCTCGTGGCTACACTTGGCAGCCCTCCTCCAAGGCCCTCTTACCCAGAAGGCTGAGACCACGGCTAGGACTGCTCCTAGATGGATCTCAGCAGCATTAAGCTGTGCCTGGGCTAGTTTGTAGTGACTTACTGCAGAGCACCCCCAGACTGGCATGTGGTTCTATATTTGTAAAGTTATTGGGATAAGAAGCAATTAAACAGTTTGTAATAAACACAGATGGTGAGCCTGCTGTGTGTTCTGCCTTGTGGGGGCCGACAAAACATCAAGGGCTCTAGAAGAAGTTGGTATAGGAAAAAAGGACCAGGTACTGCTTCCCCTTCCCAGGTTAGACCCAGGAAGGTCCCACTGCTCCATGCACATAAATTTTGCTTTATGAGATGAAGCTGGGAGCACCTTGCCAAACTTCCTATCCTATTATATCTTCACCCAAATAAGGTATGGAAGTAGCAGACTATGATGGATGGCACCGCGGGAGGTGTGGGGAGTGGGGGTGGGGGAGTAATGACAGACCAGAAGAGAAATGCAGAGTGACTTTTACTACCTCCATTTTATAAGTTAAAACACTAAATTATGTAGAGAGGTAGTATATGAATCTGTTTTCTAATAGGGAGTCTACTGCTAGACTCTGCCATCAGCCAATTTTTCCCTTCACACAGTGCCCTAGACACTACGATAGGGGGAAGCGCAGGGGTTTCCGGTTACAGGGAAAGGTACGGGCGCCGCAAGATTGTATACCCTCCATTCCCCTGGGAGTACGGATCGTGGCAGGGCGTGCAGGGTGTTCCAGCCGGTTGCCAGGCATTTGACCTAAAGGGGCTCATCCCACGTGGACTTTTTCTTGGCCCTTTAATGGTTGGCGTTTTCCAAAGGCCACCAATCCGCTGCAGGTTCGTTTAAATGGCAGCCGTTCTAGCCAATCGTCCCTCAGAGCAGGATTCCCGCCGCCCAGTAGTGGTGCTCTGGCAGGAGGGTCTAACTGTTGCATGGTGACAGCACTCCGGCGCTCTCCATTGGGTGGATCAAACCCAAGCGAGCCTCTGATTGGCCAGCGCTGCCGGAGGGTTACAATTCAAACGCGGGCGGGCGGGCCTGCACCCCTGCAGTTACAGTCCTGTACTCCGAGTTTCTGTGACGCTGCCAGCGCCGCCAGGATGGCCTCTCAAAACCGCGACCCAGCGGCTGCCAGCGTTGCCGCCGCCCGTAAAGGAGCCGAGCCCAGCGGGGGCGCCGCGCGGGGCCCTGTGGGCAAGAGGTGAGTGGTGCGGAGGTAATACCTTGGGCAGTGGGGCCCACAGCGAAGACTTCCGGGACACCCCCCCCTCCAGGGGCGGCTGAGATGTGTGAGGTGGGGGGACACTCTAGGAGCTCGGGCTGCCCTTAGAGACCCTCCCGAAGGAGGACAGAAGATGGAGGGACGCTGCCAGGATCCTCCGCGAGTGAGTCAATAAGAAGATAGGCCGGGGACCCTCGGTGACTTTGCGGGGGCGGCGGAGGGGAGAAATTTTAAGATCTGGCACGAGGAGAGACGCCAGAGGAGCAATGGGGGTTAAGAACACGCTAAAACCGTCCTGTAAGAGCCTGGAAGTGACAGGGTGATGACTCACTAGGACCCTCCTGTGGAATATAAGAGTGAGTGTGCCCCAAGCTTGAGTCTCACCTCAGAGTGTGGCGAAGTCTCCACGTCAGCTCCTCCAGAGAGACTGGGGTAGAAGATAGGACCACCTGGAGCCCTGACCCAACCAGACTCCCAGGTGACTGAGAATGTTCTTTTTGCAGGTTACAGCAAGAACTGATGACCCTCATGGTGAGTGACTACCTGCCAGATCCTCAGCCAGTTGGTACCCGCTCCCAGCTTGTATTCACTTATAAGTGGCCTCCTTTCCTACATCAGGCGCTTTGCTAGACACAGGGATGAAAAGATGAGTCCAGTTTGCTCTCCCCTGGAAAGAAATTCACACACCCCTCCTACACCTTTTCTTCCAGCAGTATCTATTCCTAATCCCATCTCCCCACAATGAAGTTATCTCTAAAATACAATTCCCAGAAGCCATACAAGGCCTTCCCCTGCCCTGCCATGCCCAACTTACTTGCTCTAAGGTTTACCCACACCCAACTCTCCAGCCTTAGTATTTGTCATTCTTTGGGGTATTTCCTTCCCAGATGACCTTTTCTACATTAACCCTGGATATTCAACTCAAATTCTCCAATATCCATATCGTATAACTCTAATCTGTGAATAGTCAGGGCTTTGTATGGAACTAGCACTCAATAGAATGTTGAATTGAATTCCCAGCAACCAACAAAATCGTGGGTACAGAGCTGCCTTCTGCTTCCCTGCATAACCCCTCCCTCCTGGCCTTGAACTTTTATAATCCCAATATTCCTCCCTAGAGGGGCATATTCAGTCCCAAAAGTCTAACCACTTCTTCAGAAAAGCCTATTAATTTGGTCTGATTGCTTTATTTTGAGTCAAAATTGATGGGATTAAGGGGTAGGGATTTATCTGCTGTTAGAAGTGTGCTCTGCAGCCCAGCAAGTGCTATTTCTTCCCCAGATGTCTGGTGACAAAGGAATTTCTGCCTTCCCTGAATCTGACAACCTTTTCAAATGGGTGGGGACCATCCATGGAGCAGCTGGCACAGTAAGTATAGGGTCAGGGTAGGTGAGTATGATTTTGCTGTGTCTGGGGAGAGGTGGGATGTGTTTCAAGCCTTGAGCCAGGCAGCCCACTCCTGTGCGTCTGTCCTCATGCTGTGAGCCTATGGCCCCGGTCTCTCCCTCTGTACAGTAAGAAGGAGGGTTTAAAGCAGCATTCTCCATTAGATTCCTAAGGGAGCCAGATAGCAAGGAAAAGAATGGAAAAGACAAGTGAGGACTTCAGCAAATGAGAGGGCACACGTCTCAAGATGGCAGCTTCCAAGAGAAGTCCAAAATCCAGATCTGTGCCCCAAATCTCCTAATTTTTACATGTTAGCAACTAAGCTAATTGTACTAAAAAACACAGCTGTGGTAACCTTCAGAATGCCAATTTACAGCCCTTAGACCAAAGGGTCACTGATGTCCCCACTAGATACGAGAGGCAGCACCAGAACCAGTGTAAGACTGTCTTCTGTCAAGTCCCAGAAAAACTCAAAGGTCCCAGCACGCTCCTTATATGGGGCTTGGGCTGGGATACAAGGCTCAGGATGGGAAGCTTACTCCCCACTTCTGTTTCTCCAACGCCAGGTTTATGAAGACCTGAGGTATAAGCTCTCCCTAGAGTTCCCCAGTGGCTACCCTTACAATGCACCCACCGTGAAGTTCCTCACGCCCTGCTACCACCCCAATGTGGACACCCAGGGTAACATCTGCCTGGACATCCTGAAGGACAAGTGGTCCGCCCTATACGACGTCAGGACCATCCTGCTCTCCATCCAGAGCCTGCTAGGAGGTGACTTCTGAGACCAGTGCCTCCCCTGCAACCTGGGAAACTGTCGGGACTTCCACAGCTAGCCTCTTCTACCCCCTTGACCGTTCTTTTTCTCTCTGCCCTCAGAACCCAATATCGACAGCCCGTTGAACACACATGCAGCCGAGCTCTGGAAAAACCCCACAGGTGGGTCCTTCATCTTTCTCACACGGGGCGATCCCTCCCCAGCCTTCAAAGCCTTCCTGAAACAAAAGAGTCTCAGTTACTTGGAGATGTGTGTGTAGTGGTGGGGGGCTTATCAACCCAGGGAACCCAATCCTGCCTCTGCCTTGGTGTTTCTAGTTTGCCTGTTTGGTTAAAATATATATATATATATATAAGAAAATTAACACCTTCCACATGAATGTAGGTTGAGGGGCTTTTTAAGTAGAAGGCAAAGCTTTCTCACTCGCCAAGTCCCCCTAGTCCCCTCCCCAGTCACAGTGGAGCTGAGCCAGTCCAGGAG